TACGTCGACTTTCCATGTCCATTATTGTGAAACCCACGAGACACAACAAAAACACAGCTCCGATCACAGCGTCCTCCATCCTCCTGTTGTTAACGTTGTTCTTCTTTGTTTCTGTTGTTGAACGCCGCACACAAATGACGTCGCTGTCGACCGGCTTACGTCACTTCCTAGTACACACTGTCGGTGCGAATGCAACCCTTTAAATGGTACTGGGAAATAGTTCGCGCAAAATCGTCCCAGTACTTTAGTACCGTACGTTTAGTTCTGGAACTAAAGCGGTGCGAAAGGGCCTTATGTAAATGTACTTGTAGTATACTTAGCATTAAATAAATGAAAGTCCTACTAAAAGGGTCAAAATAAGCACTCTTAAGTTCAATTAATTGCATTTAACATAAAAGTAAACTATAATATATTTTAATTTAATTGCAATTAACATTCATTTTTTGCTTGAGTATATTCTTTTAAAGTATATTACTTCCATAATAAGTACTCACGCTAAAGAGGCACAGGTGAGTACTCACTAAAACCCAAGCTTTTCCTCTTCCTTTAAATGTTTTTTTTTCAGTTTCTGTTCCTGAAAGCACTTAGGCTAAAGAGCTGCCCTCCAATATCGTTACATCTTTATTTATTGTGAAAAATAATACTCCTCTCACCTCAACATGCATGAGTGTCTGTCTACAAAGACTTTAGATTTGATCTCAAATGGGCCGTGGCAACTTGATTATTTAGTACACTAATCTATGTACTCATCACAATGGCTAGAAGTATGAAACTATATTACAATAAACAAGAAAAAATATCACATGTTTCCAATTCCAACACGTGTGGTGTGTTTCTCCAGAACATCAAGTGTTTTGTGACTTAAATCTTACATAATTAAAGAAACCGTTTTCACTGTACCAAATCTTCTAGTTTTGTTGTGCACACCCTTCTTTTATTAGAACGATGAATCAAATTAATTTGACCTTTGTTTAATTCAGCTTATTGGTAGAAATGTGCAATTGTGTGGCCATATGCAAGTCTTGCGCTACATACAAGTACACCTATAAAACAAAAAAAAGGGATCATTCTGCACAGTGTACCTTGTACACTTGTTTTAATAGCTGATCAGGTGTTATCTGTCTTATGTTGCTCTCAGCTCGGGACCACACACACACACACACACCCACACACACACACACACACAAACAAACACATGTTCAGGGCCGTTCTCTGTCTGCGTTCGTCATTCACTCTCCCTGCCCCCACCTACACACACTCCTCACAGCAGCACAGGGTGTGGAGGCGAAACTCAATACTGTGGCTTTGTCTCAAACCCTAGCAAGGTGCCTACTTAGACAGCATTTTAGGGCATTGTATGCAAGCTCTCGATTTGAACATATTTTTGTATTGAAACTACATATTGAAGTATTGTTGTGCTTATTGAAGTAAGAACTTGTTAATTACGTAGGTCAGAATCAGACATGAGTGTAATTTAGTCTGTCATGAGCAATGTATGAGGACTGCTTTTGGTGTGATGCACATAAATGGCTGTCAATAGCCATATACAGTGCACACTGCAAAGTTTTGGCAGTGACAATCAGGAGCGAATCTCCTAAATTATTGTTTTGGGTTTGCTAATACAGTAGTCCCTCCCGAAATGTGACGATTGACATAGTGATAATCAGTGTTGGGGGTAACGCATTACAAGTAACGCGAGTTACATAATCAGATTACTTTTTTCAAGTAACTAGTAAAGTAACGCATTACTTTTTCAGATAAGTAACACAAGTTACTTTGTTTACCCATTTATTCACTAATGTCTCTCTTGTCTTCATGTTGAGGGAAATTGGGCGCATTGGCACTTTCTTCAGCCTGACGCTTATTTATTTGTTTTGTTGTAAAAGGGCCTTTACAGTTGCCAAAAATATAACTTTTTCCTCATTTGTTATTAAAAATTAATGAGCAAGCCCAGCTCAGGTGACAAAAAGAAACACGCAAGTAACATAATGCATTACTTTCCATAAAAAGTAACTAAGTACCGTAATTAGTTACTTTTTTTATGAAGTAACGCAATATTGTAATGCATTACTTTTAAAAGTAACTTTCCCCAACACTGGTGATAATAACCATAACAAAGATTTGGTTTCTGTAAAAATTATCATTTAAAAGTGATCAGAGTAAACATCCGCCACTTGTTAATAAACCCACAGAGGCATTTTGTTTATGTTCTGTATAGACTGCTGATTTTAATAAGCCATATGAGAGATTTAGTAGAAATGATAGGAGTTAAAAAAAAATGGTCAGACATTTATGATTTGACAAAAAGTTGTCAGAGCCTAGACTCATCTGTTAAATGTGCATGCTAACGTTATAGCCTATAGGAACATGAGGTCAGTTTGTGATCTAACATTTGAATTATGAGATTATATAACTCTTGGAAGTTCCACAGGCTGTGGAGGAAAGGTGGAGGAATGTTCTCAAGGGGTGTAAAAGTGAGCCAAATTACTGTAGCTATGTTTATTTAGCCTAATTGTTTAAAAATGACTACTAATTTGTCATATTTACAAATACAAGCTTAATTTCAGATGCATTCATGCTCGCATTTGAGCGTTTATTGGCAATCTAATCAAATCTGTCCCTGTTCACGCGTTTTATTATAGCCACACAACAGTGGGTGAGTGATCGAGCCGGGATTTGAGACACGGCCCGTGTCGGAAGCGGGGGAGACTCGCTCGCTTGTCCTCTCGGTCTCGGTACGCGCTCGGGATTGGCCGGCTACGGTTAAAAACACTCCCCTGTTCACGGATGAACACCCTTCCCCGACCGCATTCCTTCCGCTCTCGACTGTTATGTAAAACACCCGCTTCTGTTCTCGAACGTTGACGGTAAAGTTGAGTTGTAGTTGTAAAGCGAGATATTTGTAACTTTCTGTTGATTTATTTACGGTATCGAGTGGAGCGCGATGGTGCTGAAGTCCGAGGACGGTGTCGGTGAGTGACTGACGATCGGCAGCTGTTACTTATTCTGCATTAAAACAGATGTCAAGTGCGACTTCTAAGAGATCAATTAAAATAAGCTGACATTTGATTCACTATTGCAGCGCTTTAGCTCCTTTAGAATATGATATTTACATATTTTACTTTTTTTTTTTTCTATAAAGCGTGTTATGTCCACAAGGTTTTTATTTT